CCTCCCCTCCCCTTCTCACTCCCCTCCCCACCCCTCCCCTCCAGAGACCACCCCTTCACACATCAGGGATTTTTGAACTTAGCGTGTGTGGCAGCCTGGAGAATGGCCCCCCAAGACCTGGACACCTAATCCCTGGGACCTGTGAGCAGCGCCTTATTCGGAAAAGGATCTTTGCAGATAAGATTAAGTTGAGGCTCTTGAAACGGGGAGATTATCGTGGCCCTAAATGCAACCACGAGTGTCCTCGAGAAACCCAGGCGGGGCCAGACGTGTCAAGCACCAAAAGGAGGAGGCGAAGTGCCCACGGGACAGCAGCTGGAGCGTTGCAGCCACAGGCCGCGGATGCCACCAGCCCCGGACCTGGGGGAGGCCGGGAACACAACCCCGGAGCCTCTGCAGGCACATGGCCTTGGCTGCAGCCACAGGGAAACAGAGTGTGGACTCCCGGCCTCCGGAACCAAGGCCGAAGGGTTTCTGCGCTTCTAGAGCCACCAGGCTTGTAGTCACTTGCGAACAGCAGCCCGGAAGCCACACGGTGTGGGCGAGAATCCCCCGGAGTGCTTGCCCAAAACGCTGCTTCCCTGAGGCCCTGCTGCCATCCAGCCCTCCAAAAACAGGTCTGAGTCACAGGGTCCGAGGCGGGACCCGGATCTGCAGACACGGGGCGCTCCGGGCCAGCCGACCAGCTGACCTCCACGGCACCCAGTTCTGACCTTCCGAGCCGGGGACAGTCTGGGAGTGAAGGCAGGTGGGCAGGTCTGGGCCAGCCGCCAGGCACCCACCGTAAAGCTGAGTTTGTCCGGCCTCAGCGGGGAGATGGGGCCGCGGCCGCTCGGGGGCCCCACCCTCCCTGCTGGGCTCCCACTTGCCCTGGATCCGCCGCCGGCCCCCAGAGGTGACCCTGCTCTTAGCCGGTGGCCCCTCCTCCCGTAGAAGCAGGACCATGACTCCATTCAGTCAACACGGAATCTTCCAGACGCACTGGCCTCCAGGAGAAATCTAGCCGGTCTGTGGGAAAGGAAAGGAAATACGTATTTTCAGTTGGAATCTACGGCCAAGTGTCCAAAGCCAAGACTGGCCTGAGCGGTCACTTCAAACACAGACCTGGCCTGAAGCCCAGACCCTGCCGGCCGCTCTCAGGGGACCGAGGCCAGAGGGGCCCCACGGGACCCCTGAGCCGGGACCCCGGCCCTTTTCCCTCCACTCCCCGCCTCCTGGCTGTCCTTCGGGCGCGGGAATGCGGGCTCCAGGGCAGTGCCCTGCTGTGCTCACCCTTCAGACGCCCAGTGTCCCAGGACAGGCTTTCTGGATGCCACCCACCCGCCCCCTCCTACCGTGCTGGCCGCTGTGCCGCTGGAGCCCAGAAAGCCCCAGACGCAGCACCCTCACCGGCCTCCTGCTCAGTGTGGCCCGGCCGATGCTCCGGAGGAAGCAGCCTGTCACCCGGGGCAGACGTCCCCAAAGCCTCGCGCCCCAGACCCCGCAAGACCCCGCCAACTCCGTTCCACGAAGCCCTGGCCCCTTTCGGAGACTGGGGATGCCAGGCAGGGTGGTCACGCAGCACCTGAGTCACACGGGTCCCCTTGGTGCTGCACACGGATCCGCAGAAGGACCAAGGCTGCGTCGACCCCCGGCAAGGACGAGAAATCGCCCAAAGGCCGGGCGTGCGTCTCACACAATTACGGCGGCAGAGCACATTGTCCCGCGTGACCAGCATCAGGGAAGGGGTGGCCAGAGCCGGCAGCGTCCTCTCTCCTGGGCCCTCCCACCGCCGAATTCAAAGACGGACGAGGCACGGACCCAGTGTCCGCGGTGCTGGAGGGAACGCGAGGTGTTGCAGACCCTCGGGAAAGCAGTCTGGAGGGCCCTCCCACTGCCACACGGTAACTCCGCGTTCCCTCCTCCGCAGGGAAGCGAGGAACAGGGAGACCTGTGCCCGGGTGCTCGTACAGCACCCTTCGCGGCGGCCCACGGGGACACGAAGTGGACTCGGCCCCCGCGTCCGTCGGCGGAGGACTCCGTAAGCAACGTGGTCCCCGGGCAAGCGATGAGAAGCCGTAAGAGGGAAGGAGGTGCGACACATGCTACAACAGGGTCACGCGAGGGAGGCTGGCCCCTACGGGCCGCGTAACCGATGGCTCCCGTTATGAGAAATGCCCAGAATGGGCAAATCCACAGAAACGGAGCGAAGATTACTGGACGCACGCGGGAGAGGGATTGACACAGGGACGGGGCTTCTTTTCGGGGTGGTGGGAATCTTCCGGGACCAGCCGTCGGTGATGGGCGCCCAGCACAGAGAGTGCACCAAGAACCTTTCAAACGGCGAGCTTCGTATCGGGAGAGCTTGATTCGATAGAGAATTTAAAAGAGAAAAACAGGAGGGCAGAGGAGACCCGCTATAATCCACGCGTTCGTTACTGGTCTCTGCGGAAAGACTGGCCCCATTTGCCAGGACAGCAAGGGTGCCGGGGGAGATAAGCCCGACCGACCAGCCCCGACGAGGCAGAAGGGGGGACCGGAGCGCGGGCTCGTCCCTCTCCTGCCCTGTGGGATCACTCGCCGCCCCACACGCCCACCCCGCCGCCCCGCCCCCCAGCGGCCAACCCAGATCCTGCTGAGCCAGCGTGACCAGGTGATTAGGTCAGGTCGACGTGGCCCCTATAGATCCAGGGCGGGTCGGAGACCCACGGAAGGTCTACAGTAGACGGTATGGTCAGGCCAGCCCACAGTCACTCCGTGGCAGACGTGACCCCAGGTCTCTCAGTTCCACGTTCTTGCCATGACACAGGACCTGCCCTGCCTGCTGGAGGGGAGCCCTGACCCGGGCAACGCCCCACAGACGGGGCGGGCAGAGGTGGACACCGGGTAGAAGGAGGAAAGGACAGACAAACGCCTTTCCTGCCCACGAGGAACGTGGTGCTGTGGGAGAGACAGAGGGGCCTTGCTGCTGAAAAACAGGAGACTTGGACGGCGCTGAGGGTCCCGGCAGAGGCCGTGAGAGGGGGCATCCCAGACCTGAGGGCAGCACAGTCCCCGGAGTGGCCGCAGCAGCGGGGGACCCGGAGGAAGGCGGAGTCGGGAGGCAGCTGCTGGAAGCCGGACGAGAGCTGATGGCGACCCCCCGACCCGGCCTGTTCAGAGACGGGGCCACGGGAGACAGGAGTCGGGGACGTGTAAAGTTCGTGACGCTGGCCGCACAGAGCGCCACCTGTGACCTGGACGCTGCTTGCGGGGTCTCTGAGGCGGCTCGTGTTGTCACTGTGTCACCATGTCACACGCTCCCGGCACTCAGGCCCCGCTGCCAGTGGCCGCGGGCGCCCTGCGTCGTCCGTCGGCTTCTCTGCTGGACCTTGTCCCTCAGCGTCTTCTGTTTCTAGCCTCTCCCGCCCCTGCACCCCTGCCCCGCCCCTCCCTCTCTCGTTACAACACAGAACACGGTTCCGCCAGGGAGGGGAGACCCTCACGGAGCCGAGTTCTCTGCACCCCACCCCCCACCCGTCCTCTCTTCCCGTCACTCAGTCACATGCTCCGCAAAGGCCATCGTGACCTTCAGGTGGCCCAAACCAGTGGCTGCTCCCCACCCCATCTCACTGGACACAGTCCACACTCTCTCCTTCTAGAAACGGAGGGAAATCGCACGAGGGTGTCCCTGAGTTCAGACCTAGAGCCCAAGGGGAGGCGGGGGGTGGGGCTGGTCTTCCTGGGAGCACGCGCAGTCCGTCCCTGTCCCAGGCGAGAAGGCAGGTGTGCACGTGAGGGGCGGCGGGACAGTGGGGCCCTGGGAAGTTCTCTTCCGGTGCCTGTGACGTTTCCTCGTGGACGTAGGGGTGGAGGACATTCGCTGAGAGAGCCCAGGGGGCGGAGGCGACTGAGACACAGAAGGTATGAAATAGCGACTACGCGCACAGGAGAGCGAAAGGGCAGGGGGCTTCTGTGCGGTCTCCAGGCGGCGGACGAGCCCAGCTGCCCTGCCCTCATAGACGACCCTTCGCGCCGGGCAGTCACCTAGCTCTGCCCTGCTACCTGCTGGCCTCCTCGGAGCCCTCGTCGTCTCTGCCAACAGGGCCGGGACTGCCCCGCGGGCCACCACCGCCTCCCGAGCTCCAGCTCCGGCTCCGGCGTGTCGAGGACAAGCCCACCGCTAACTAGCCGGCGAACGAACCCGCCGGGCCCACGGGTCCTGGGTCGCTGACCAGGCTGAGGGTCCGGCTGCGTGTGGCGTGTCCGCGCTCTGCCCTGTCCCCCCCCGGGGCCCCTCACCACCTCCACGCACACGGCCGCCGCCCCTCTGCATCCCCGCTGTTCCGGGCTGTCAGAGCGATGCCCTCACCGGGGACCTGTGCCCTCGGGTATCTGCTGACGTGCAGAGGCAGAAACACAACCTGCTCTCTTGAACTATCAGCTGAGAGAGAGAGAGAGAGAGAGAGAGAGAACGGGGGGAGGGGCAGAGAGAGAAGAGAGAGGATACCAAGCAGGGTCCGTGTTCAGCATGGAGCCTGACATAGGGCTCGATCCCACGACCCTGGGATCAAGACCTGAGCTGAAATCAAGAATCAGACTCTTCACCGACTGAGCCATCCCAGGCGGCCCTCAAAGATTTTTCTGTAAAAGGAACGTTTTAAGTGTTGAACACAAAGTAAACTCAGGAGGCTGCCAGGCTCGACCCCCAAGTTCAGGGAAGCTCTTACCTTTTAATTTTTAAGGTTGTTTTTTAATGTTTATTTCTGAGAGAGAGACAGAGCACAAGCAGGAGAGGGGCAGAGAGAGGGAGACACCGAATCTGAAACAGACTCCAGGCTCAGACCTGTCAGCACAGAGCCCGACGCGGGGCTCGAACCCACAAACCGTAAGATCATGACCTGAGCCGAAGTCAGATGCATAACCAGCTGAGCCACCCAGGTGGCCCCCAATTTTTTTTCTTAACATTTATTTATTTTTGAGAGACAGAGAGAGAGAGTGTGAGTCGGGGAGGAACAGAGAGAGAGGGAGACCCAGAATCCGAAGCAGGCTCCAGGCTCTGAGCTGTCGGCCCAGAGCCTGACCCGGGGCTTGAACTCACAGACTCTGAGATCATGACCTGAACCGAAGTCGGATGCTTAAATGACTGAGCCCCCCAAGTGCCCCCAACAAGTGCCCTCCCTAACGCTCCTTACCCGTTTAGCCCATCCCCCCTCCCACAACCCCTCCAGCCACCCTGTTTGTTCTCCATATTTAATATGTTCTCCATACTTACGTTTTTGTCCCCCTCCCGGTTTTTATATTATTTTTGTTTCCCTTCCCTTGTGTTCATCTGTTTTGTCTCTTAAAGTCCTCCTATGGGTGAAGTCATACGATTTTTGTCTTTCTCTGACTAATTTCACTTAGCATAATACCTTCTAGTTCCATCCACATAGTTGCAAATGGCAAGATTTCATTCTTTTTGATTGCCGAGTAATACTCCATTGTATATATATACCACCTCTTCCTTATCCATTCATCCATCGATGGACATTCGGGCTCTTTCCATACTTTGGCTCTTGTCGATAGCGCTGCTATAAACATGGGGGTGCATGCGTCCCTTCGAAACAGCACACCTGTATCCCTTGGATAAACACCTAGCAGTGCAGTTGCTGGGTCGTAGGGTCGATCTATCTTTCACTTTTTGAGGAGTGGGGCAACTTCAAATGTGGGGGGGAAACACACACACACAAGGGTATGAATTAACACACACCAGGGGCCCACGGTGGAGCCTGCGACTCGATCTCGGAGTTGTGTAGGGTGTAGAGACTCGTTAACAATAAAATGCTTAAAAATAAATAAATGACTGATAAAACACACCCAGAAGGAAAGCTGAACACAAAGATCAGGAGCGTGGTCTTTTCCACCTCGAGGAGGGAGATGGGACGGGAATACAGAGACATGTGAGCTTTAGGCGATGTTCTCGAGCAGGCCGGCGGATACGTTTACAGGGCTTTATCACACTATTAGTAGTAAGTTTGTTAAAGCAAGCCACGCGTGGACTAACGATGAGAATGTGCCACGAATCAAGGATTGTAATTAATCCAGCTTTGAACACTGACCGTTAAACACACAACCGTGCAGCAGGCAGAGGGGTGGTGTGCGTGGGCTGGGGACCCCGCCAGGACCCTCAGATGGCAGAGAAGCGACGGTCTTTCCCCCAAGTATCCCTCGATATCATTGCTGGGCTCCCTTCCCTTCGCTGCACCCCAAGCCACGGCCTCCGCACAATTCTGTATCCCTTCAGGCACGGATCACGGCAACAGTGTCCCCGACTTCCCAAATCCCTCCAACCTCCAGATGATTCCGTTACATGAGGAGTTTCGGGGCCCCTCAGCTTGCCTTGAGGGAGACATCCTGTGTCCCGGGCCCAGCACCCGGACTCTCACCACCTGATGCCCACGCAGCCCATCGGGTGCTCCTCGGGCAGAACGGACGGTGAGGGCCCCCCGCCCCCGACTCCCTGCCCACCGTGTGCAATTTTGCTGCCACGCCTCCTGTGCCCAGACCCTTGTGGCACGCGGAAACTGCATGTTCGTCCCTGAGTCTCTCCCCCGATACACACACCCCCTCGCTGTGGCCCCGTGCTGGACACAGAAGAGATGTTCAAGACGTGCCTAATGAAGGAATAACTCACTAAACATGCAATTACACCCAAGCTTTGTGTCTTGCGTCCTTGGATTAGCAGAATCGAGCCCCGGGGGGATAAAAGTATGGAATTCAAGTACACGTGTGCCCTGAGGGCTCTTATGTCGTGTGTGATAGTCTGAAAAGGTTTGCACGTATGACTGAAACCGAGACAAAGTAGGAAGTGCTGGGAGAAGGCTACAAGCATCTAGAAATAGTAGTTTAGATGCGGCCAGTAGGAGCCCCGGACGGACAGCGGACCCGGATTTCAGCCTCACTCTGTCCCATCCTCGCGGTCACCTGGAGACGTCACTTTCCTCGCGGGTCTTTGCTCACCTGACCCAGAGGACACGGCTGTGCTGTGAGCTGGACCAGGCCACCCGCGTCCAGGGGAGACAGCGCCTGGTGAGCTGAATGCAGCCGTCAGCCCTGGAGGGGGGCCAAGCCCCCCGGGCCCAGGTCAGGGGTCCACCCCGCGGTTATGCACACACGCATGCGCGTGCCACACGCGGAGCCCCCGGCCCGGCCCTGCACTCACATCGTCCCGTCTGGGCCGCAGCCGCTGTCGCCGACGGGGCGTCACAGATGAGAGCACAGTGGCACCAAGCTAAGCAGCAGGAGGATTTGAACCCAGGCTCGTCTCCCCTAAAAGCCCACGTGTTTTCCCAAGGCACTATATTGACACTGTTGAAAGAGACAAAAAAATCGATGGAAAACGGGGGTTGAACTGGGGGGGGCTGCTCTCTCGTGCTCAAGTCCCCACACAGCTGCTGGGCTCCTGCTGTTTGTCAGAGGCGGGACCCTTCTCTTCCAGCTGCAGGGAGCAGGGCCGGGGACACCAGGGACACCGGGAGCACTGGGGACAATGGAAACACCGGGGACAATTGGGACATGGGAACACTGGGGACACTGGGACACCGGGAACAGCCCCTGCTCCTCCTGCACCCGTGACCGGCACATGGCCTCACGCCTCCTGACGTTCCAGCTGAGACAAGCGCCATGAGTGACAATGCTCTGCAGTAAGGCATCGGTAAAGGGGCCGCGGCTGCTGGTCTCTGCTGCCCCCCAGCGCCCTGGGTCACCCCACAGCCTCGGGGACTCCTTAAACCAGCGCTCCCTACAGCATTGTCTCTGCAGTGATCTGCTCGCACTTTCCTGTTTGCTCCAGAGGGTGGCTGCTAGCTGTTTCTGCTGATAAAGAATATTTACACCCGTCTTTATCTTTAAATGACTAGAGCATTCTGAAAATCAGTAAGGGAAGGGACGTGCATTTACCTGACTCTCCCGTATGCGCCGTGTTTCAGGGGAAATGGTTGGTTGGGCAACACTTTATTTTTTATTTTTTTAATGTTTACTTATTTGAGAGAGAGAGAGAGAGAGAGATAGCAGGGGAGGGGCAGAGAGAGAGAGGGAGACACAGAGGAGAGCGAGAGGCACACGCCCCACCCACTGAGCCAGCCGGCTGCCCCCCAACTTGTGTTTTGGGCTGTGATTATTGTCACGTGTATACAGCCGGACTCGGTTTGCTCACACTCTCATCGGAAGGATGCGGGTCACCTGGGAAGGTTGTGTCCTCCCGCGGTGACTCTACAGGGGGCAAACCTGGTGCTAATCACAGGGGGCAGCGGGGGCAGCCCGCACCCAGCGCCTGGTAGGGACGAGCCCACAAAGACATTCCGGCCCAACCTCGCATCTCTTCTGGGCCACGGGGGGTCCAGGGCATCCAAGAGACTGGTCAAATCTCTGTCACAACGGTGTTGCATTTTGACTCCTCCCTCCGACCGGGACTCCCTGTTCCCCTTCCACAGATGCTGATCCTGGTAAACACCAGGCATGCGGAACCCCGGCTCAGCGTCGGCTCCCGGAGAGCACAGCCGGCAACAGAGCAGGCCAGCCACGCGGGCGTGCGCTCGGAGGGACGCACGCGGCTTCGTGCTCTTGCTCACCATCTTGAAAATATAAATCCCCGCGGTGATTTCGGTTCTATGGAAAATTCCGTAAGTGAACTTTCAGCAAAGTGAGCCAGAGAAATCTTTTCATCAATCAAGATACCAAATTAAAGGGCGCCTGGGTGGCTCAGTCCGCTAAGCATCCGACTTCGGCTCAGGTCATGATCTCACAGCTGATGAGTTCGAGCCCTGTGTCGGGCTCTGTGCTGACAGCTCGGAGCCTGGAGTCTGCTTCGGATTCTGGGTCTCCTTCTCTCTCTGCCCCTTCCCACACTTTCTCTCTCTCTCAAAAATAAATACACATTACATAAAGATACCAAATTAATAAATCACAATTATTCATTGTATTATAGAAAATTATGAGACCAAAAATGGCCTCTTTTTGCAGTTTGTAAGTTTATGTTCCCCCCCCACGTGTCACTATTACTATCTCTTATATGTAAAGTATATTTTTAAAGGAAAAAGCCTTATAAGGTAAAACCCTGGATTGCGAGGAACTCGTTCTGTGAGTCCACAAGACAAGCAAACATTTCTAATAAACTTTAACCTGATAAGCGAGCAATGTCTTGCGATACGAGTCGTCTATGACACCAAACGTCACATGATCACAAGTGAGCCAATTGAAATTCGCTTTGACATACAAGTGTTTGGATTACAAGCATGTTTCCAGAATGAATTGTGCTCGCAAACCAAGGTTTTACTGTATTTTAACAGCACCTTTTTCCTGGGTTTTAAAGAACGTGGCCACATTTGCACTGAGCCCTGCACGTGGCGAGCTGGCCGCGAGGGCCGCCTCCCACCCCACGAGTGGCCGTCCCGGAGGGGTGCACCAGAGGGCGTACCGTGAGCTGTTATCTGCTATTCACACTTCGTGCGTACGATGAAGAGATCGTAGGGGCCCTGTACGCACGGAATACAGGGGAGGGGAGAGGGCCGGGGGCCTGCAGAGAAACTCCGGATTTTGCCAGGAGTTTGTCTTTGTCAGAGCCTTGTTCCTGACGCCAACGTGAGCGTAAGATACAGACCAGCGATTAAAAACTAAACATGAAGATGTCATTTAGATAAGTCATTAAAAAACTCCCTCACCGCCAGGACGCTAACACTGCCTATGCAACTGAACAATCAGGAGTGTCCTTGTCTAAAACCGGCTCGGAACAGCCCGGCCCTGGGGACTGGGGCTGCTTCTCAAGATCGGGGGCCCTCTTGGGGACATCAAGTTCTCAGAGCAATAAACAGAAAAATATCTGTAGTTAATTAAAATGGGCCAATACCGTCACTTTCCACGTGGGCTGGGAAGGACTAAGGGGTAGGATATCAGGCAAAGGCTGGTAAAAATAGAAGTCACACCCTGATTTTACACTCTGCCGCTTGTCTATTTGATGTTTCTGTTTACAGGACCCCTTGTGCAGAGTAACGCTCTGTTGTCCTGCGGACGGAGCCCCACAGTTCACGACACTGCTGCGGGTGACGGGGCGCCCCACGCTGTCCTGACATCTGTCCTGCATCAGTCCTACATCTGTCCTGCCATCGGTCCTGCCATCCGTGCTGACGTCCGTGCTGACGTCCGTCCTGCGATCCATCCCACCATCCGTGCTGACGTCTGTCCTGCCGTGCATCCTAGATCTGTCCTGACGTCCATCGTGTCATCCATCCTGCCGTCCATCCTGACATCCGTCCTACATCCATCGTACATCCGCCCTGGCATCCATTGTGACATCTGTCCTGCTGTCCGTCCTGCTGTCCATCCTGCCATCTGTCCTGAGGTCCATCCTGTGGTCTGTCCTGCTGTCTGTCCTGCCATCCATCCTGCCGTCCATTTTGCTGTCTGTCCTAATACCCACAAGCTTCAGACACAGGCTCTACAGACAGCGGGGAAAGAACTAATCCAAGAGACTTTGCCTGCAGCATTCTGACCTTGTGTCCTCAGTAAACCCACAAGAACTGTGAACAAATGTTGAACACTGGCTACTAGTTTTGATTTGCACAGTAGCATGGGCCAGCAAACTACTTTCTGGGCGTCCCTGGAGAAAGAAAATGGGGAAATTCATTAAGAATGATGGAAGTCGGGGCGCCTGGGTGGCGCAGTCGGTTAAGCGTCCGACTTCAGCCAGGTCACGATCTCGCGGTCCGTGAGTTCGAGCCCCGCGTCGGGCTCTGGGCTGATGGCTCGGAGCCTGGAGCCTGTTTCGGATTCTGTGTCTCCCTCTCTCTCTGCCCCTCCCCCGTTCATGCTCTGTCTCTCTCTGTCCCAAAAATAAATAAAAATTAAAAAATAAAAAAAAGAATGATGGAAGTCACGTTCTCATTGCTGGAGAAGAGCGTTACAAATGCAGAGAGACGGAACTCTATTTTTTGTAATGTTTATTTTTGAGAGAGACAGAGAGACAGAGTGCGAATGGGGGAGGGGCAGAGAGAGAGGGAGACACAGAATCCAAAGCAGGCTCCAGGCTCCGAGCCGTTAGCACAGAGCCCGACGCGGGGCTCGAACTCACAGACCGCGAGATCATGACCTGAGCTGAAGTCGGACGCCCAACCACCTGAACCAGCCAGGCACCCAGGAGAGAGGGAACTTTGAGACAAGGCACTTGGTCTTCATTTGGAATCAAGGGTCAACGTGAACTCACGTGACAACAGGATAACTTTTTAGAAGCTGAATTCACTTTCGTAAATATAAAGTCAGCCTGCATTTATTTACCTAAGGTTTCTACAATTTATTTACCTAATTAACAGGGAACCAGCAGGATGATCAAGCTGCTTAAATTAAATATTAATATTAGGCTAAATATCCTAGCTCGGGATAAAGAATGTTAAAACAGGACTTCCAGGATATACACAAAACTGGCTAATGTCATACAGGACAAGGAAGGGACAACCTTGGTTGGGAGGCTTTGTTCTCGTATTTTTTACCTGAAAGGAATTATTTGCATCAGCACCAGACAAAAACCTACATGCTAATGTATAACCTTATAGAGTCGGGGCCCTATTCAATGGTGTATAACAAGTCAAACAAAATTACATTTTCCTAAAGGATAAGAAAACCCGGGGCGCCTGGCTGGCTCAGTCGGTAGAGCATGCGACTCTGGATCTTGGGGTTGTGAGTTCGAGCCCCACGTTGGGCATAGAGATTACTTATGAGTGAATAAATGAATGAATAAAACTATCATTTAAAAACAGAAATCCTGGGGCGCCTGGGTGGCTCAGTTGGTTAAGCGTCTGACTTCGGCCCAGGTCATGATCTCGCGGTCCGTGAGTCCGAGCCCCGCGTCGGGCTCTGTGCTGACAGCTCAGAGTCTGGAGCCTGTTTCCGATTCTGTGTCTCCCTCTCTCTCTCACCATCCCCTGTTCATGCTCTGTCTCTCTCTGTCTGAAAAATAAATAAAATGTTAAAATAAATAAATAAATAAAAATAAAAACAAAGACAGAAATCCTCGGGTGGGCCTGTTAGCTGGGGAGCACACAGATGTGTCCACCACTGGGCTGGCGGGCACCCAGCCCTCCTGCCCCAAAAGCCGATTGCCACACTCACGTTAAAAGTGTTGGCTGAAGCCCTGTTCTCGCGGTCTGGACTTGCCCAGACATCTCCGCTCTCCTCGGTGGCCTCTCCCGTCGCCCGCCCACCTCACAGGAACTGAGCCAGCTCTGGGCCTCTGCTTGGTTATGACTTCCTCGCTGGAACCTTCCAAGTCTCCCCAAGTCTGAGTGAGGGTCCTCCACAGCACTTCCCACCACAGCAACGATCAGGGCTAATCACGGCCGCCTAGATCCTCTGTGAGCCCAGGCCTGAGTCCTGTTCACGGCTGAAGCCCAGAGCTGCGCATGACCACACATTACACAGACAGGTGGATGGATGGTCAGATCAACGGATCGGTAAACAGGTGGTCGGGATAACAGATATCTGGATAGATAGGCAGACAGAGACAGACAGAGATAGACAGACACAGACAGATTAGAGAGGAGACAAAGGGGCGGGGCGGGATCCCGCCAGAGGGCTTTACAATCTGCCTCTGTGGCTGCCTTAGACTCCCCCCACCCCCACCCCGCCAACACACTTTCTCCATTTCAGCTGTTTATACTGAAACGTATCCAAAGCCTTTCGCTGCTCAACTGGGGTTTCTCCTGCTCGGAAGCCACAATGCTGCGCTCGGCCGCACGGTGGAGCCGACGAGGCGCCGAGGACGCCCCGGCCAGGTGGTTACGCCCCGCAGGCCACGAAGGAGAGCAGCTCCTGGGTGTGAAGGGTCACCCCAGGCTCAGGTTTGTCGTTCGGGAAATCTCCGGGGCTGTTAGGACTCTGAGGCTCCAACCAACCATCCGGCTGCCCAAAAGGGTGGGGAGGGGGCGTCTCCTCACCAGGGAGCCCGTAGTCTGGGATCCGTTGTGAGGACAGCCGGGGGGGGGGGGGGGCACCCGGGGGGACAGCTGTCTTCCAGCCCATCAGTCCTATTCCAGCAGGACCCGGGAAGGAGGGCTGGGGGGCCACCGTCCCTGCCCAGAGCTCTGCTTCCAGGAAGGGGCCTTCGGTGCAGCATTCCTGCAGGGCGGGGGCGCATCTCCGCCCAGACCCCTGCCCCCTGCAGCCAGGAGCCGCCCCCACCCCTCCGACGAGGACCCTCCCCCACCAACCCTCCTTTGACTCCCTCACTGCCTTTACAAGCCCTAGGGGACGCAGTCTGTCCCTACCTCCAGGCTTCACGTCTGTCCTCCCCTGGCCCCTCACACCAGCACGATCCCCACCCCCTCCCCAACCCCACTCATGAATTCCCAACAGGCCCAGGGAGTCCCTGAGTTACTCAGTTGGCTTGGAGATGCTCCTGGGGTAGAAGTGGGCGGGGGGAGGGGGGCTGTGCGTCCTGAGCAGACTCCCTAGTCCTGTACCAGCGCCTGAAGGAAGGGCCAGCCAGCCCAGCCGCTGACGCTGACAGAGGAGGAGGAGGATGGTGGCAGGAAATGCTAGCAGGGCCTGGTCTCACCTTTGTCCCGAGCACAGGTCGCCCCACCCTAGGGGACAGATCTTCCGGTTCTCTGAGGAAGAGGGTGCACACCTCACCCTAAACACAGAGGCGGGAACAATCCTGGTGGACATTCAATCAGAGCTCCTCAAGGCTGTCAACTGGGAGACCCTTCCACGGGACGCGGGGCCCCAAGCTGCACCTCCCCCACCCTGGGCCAAGGACACGAACCCTGAACACACCAGCGGGCTCTGCCTCGGGGATCCTGGGGCCCACGGTCAGGCGCCACGCCAGGACCACGAGGCCACAAAGAAAGTCCGTCCAGTTGGGGCACTTTCAGGCCAGCAGGGAATCGGACTCACAGACACGTGTGGCAGGCGGGAGCAGAGAAGTCACAGCAAGTGCCGAGCTGATAGTTCTAATTGTTCCTTAATGTGCTTTTGGGTTTATAGTAAATCCACACCACGGAATTTGCATTAGGGAGCACCCCCGTCTTGCTTAGGGAGCATCCCTGTCTTGCCGTGACTTGCATTTTGGAGCAGTTTCTGGACTGCTGGGGCAGAAGGAAATCCCTCCCAGACACTCCCCTCTGAGTGTGAGTCAGGAAGCAGAGGTGTCCCCAGCCGGGTCAGAGGCACAGGGACAGAGGCTGGGCGTAGCCGCTCTGTGTGTCCGGACCCAGGCCCGCGCGCTCCCCTGCGGCTGCCGGACCTTCTGCTCTGGCCTCGGCTCCCCATCCGCGGGGGTTGGACAAGGAGACGGTCCAGCCCTCCTCCTCCACCTCTGCTAAGAGCTGGAGAATCTCTGAGTCAGACACTGTGTGGCCACATGGCTCAGAAGTGACTCACACCGAGACTCGGCGGGGAGGCCCCTTTTGTAATATTCCCTTACTTGGCCCCGGGCAGGGTCTCGTGTTCTCTCCCGGGAACTGCTGGGCAGAGCCTCTCTCGGGGCCAAGGAAGAGCCCGACACTCAGGCAGTGACCGCCTGGGCTGGGCCCTGGCACTGACCCAATCGGTACGAGGGACCGACGCAAAGAAACGGCTTTCCAGGCTTTAAACCCCACCGAGATTAAATCATAAATCGTGTCGAGACTGACTTGGGCACCACTAGCTGTGCCTGGAAACTCACATTAGTATTCTAAACAATAAATCTGTGTGTGTAAGGGGCGGGGGGCGGGGGGGTGGGAGAGACAGAGGGAGGGGGGGGACTAGCCTCCAGAGGAGACAGAGGCCTCGGCCGGGGCCAGGGCCAGGGGAAGTACCCGGCTATTCTGGGCGAGCACTGACTGCGTTTACACTCGGCGGTGATGGGAGGTGGGAGGCTGGGAGCAGGAGGTGCAGGCCGGGCGGGCTGCGAGGCAGGAAGCGCCCGATCATGTACACAGGATGCAGGCTGAGCCGCGCTGGAGAGGGACAGTGAGAAGCCGGGGTTGGACATAGGGTCGGGGATCCCATGGCTGACCGTGGCCACTGTGGCTTGCAAGGTGAGGAGGGTGGCAGCCAAGAGGGTTTGTCCTCCCCCCCACCCCGCACTGGCCCAGAACACCACACGCCCGCGTTCAGGGCCGAGGTTCCCGAAGGCGACACTCAGCACCCGCCCGGTGCCCCCGGGGAAGGCACTGAACCGCTGGGTGCCTCAGTTTCCTCATCTGCAAATGTGGAAAACGTAACAAG